TCATTCATTGCCCCACATACATTCAACGTAGCCAGACGGGCCTCTGCAATCCACTTTTCGCCTCTCCGGGAGACAGAACGTGACGGGTGGCGAACCTCGTCGCCGGTTTTCCTCCCGGAGATAAATAAATGTATTAAATATACAACAACAAATGTTAATAATCTGAATTCCAATTTTTTTTTAAATGGGAAAGAACTGAGTCCTTTTGAATCCTTTGTGTTTTTTTTGGCGTCAAGAGTGATTCTCGACGCTAAGCTTCATTGGGGCCCCCATATATCCAAAATAGCAAGCGGACTATGCTCTGCAGCTTATGCTGTAAAAAAGATTAGAGATCTCACTAGTGTCGAGACAGCTACATTAGTTTATTTTACTTATTTCCATAGCATAATGTCATATATAATTTTGCTATGGGGGAGTACGGCTGATTTAGAAACTAATTTTTTTTGTAAAAGAGGGCCATAAGCCCTATTTACCACCTTACACCGAGAGAGTCTCTAAAGAAAAAATTAAAGAAATAAATATATCAACTTTGGCCTCTCGGTATACCTATGAAAATTTGATGTATGTTCACAAAAATAAAGATAGTTTTAGTAAAAAAGTGATATACTCTCTGTAAACACTAGGTACAAACACAAGCTAGTTTACCAGTTTCATAGTTGATAATAACCATGGGAATGAGGTGGTCGCTTCCAAGCTGTTTGTAACATAAATTTTGTAAATATTTTGTGACCATTGACAATATAAAATTTATTTAAAAAAAGTACCGCTGGGTTTATTTGCTGGTTCTTCCCAGGAATGAGATTTTTTTCGACCCAGTAGTAAAGTAAAAAGTTGACTTTCAATAACAATTACCTGTAATATATATTAACCCATCAGTCCCCTTAAAATTCTCAGGCAGTCGTATGCGCCTGGCAAATCCCGAGCGGTTGCAAGGGACCGCACCCACCCGCAGCACTTAAAATCATTAAAACATATATTTGGAGACTACTTTTCTATGAAGAAATTTGGCATTATAAAATCTATACAAAATTCTCTATATAAAAGTTAGGCGTTAGTTCATTACAAAAAGACTATTGTATTTTGATAACAAAAAAAAAACAAACCAAGCGAATGTCAGCAGCGTGAAAATCACAATTATTTCAATATATATTACTCGAAATTATTTACGTAAAAAGATAAATTATTTCACACAAAAATTTTCAAAAAAACACTACACTAAAACACTAATATAACACTAGAAAAATCCAAAAATCAACACAATAACATTCCCTCGAAATTGGCGTACGAAATGAACATAGATTTTAAATAAATATCCATAGCATAACTATTTTTTATTGCACTAGAGGATAGAAAATTTCATATTGATTCTATAATGCGTATCTTTTTCATAGAAAAGTAGTTTCCAAATATAAGTTTTAATGATTTAAAGTGCTGTGGGAGTGCGTGGTCGAATTCGACCGCTTGAATTTTGGCGGAATAGCGCCGTGGTCGAATTCTACCGCATAGGGGTTGAAGGGTTAAATAAAAATTATCCTATACTATTCTATTTCATTCTATTCTATTTATACCAAGTAAGTAAGTAAAAGTAAGAAACATTGCGGGTTTTTTGATGTATCAATAAGTAGCTATGTTATCTGTTCTATTCTGTTCTGTTCTGTCCTGTCCTGTCTTGTCCTTTCCTGTCCTGTCCTGTCCTGTCCTGTCCTGTCCTGCCCTGCCCTGCCCTGTCCCGCTCTGTCCTGACCTGTCCTGTCCGGTCCTGTCCTGTCCTGTCCCATCCTATCTTGTCCTATCTTATCCTACCCAATCCAATCCTATCCTATTCTATCCTATCCTATTCTATCCTATCCTATGCTATCCTATTCCATCCTCTTATATTCTGTTCTATTCTATTGTGTTCTATTCTGTTCTGTTCTGTTCTATTCTATTCTGTTCTGTTCTATTCTATATTATTTTGTTCCATTCCATTCTATTCCATTCTATTCATACCAAGTAAGAAAAATATCAGTGTTCATCCACGCTTTTTGTTAGTTACAGTAAGTTAAGGAATTTTAATATTTTTGAACATTGCGGCAGGTGCGTGCCTAAATACTTATAAGAGAAATATACTTTTTAGGTAACGTAAGGCACGCATCAGCTCGAGCGCGCGAGTGACAACCTCACTGAATTAGTCTCTTGTAGGCGGCCGCGTAACGAAGGTATATTTTCATGCCTAAAGCGCGGAGTGAGACAGGCCTGGTAGTACCTAGACCTAAAAATACCTAGGCCAACGTCGAGTAGCAACGTCAAAGATGCGAGAAGTCTGGTACTGCAATCGTCAATCTGCTTGCCAAGCGAGACGATTAAGACAAATCCACCCCACAAAGAAAAAATCCCCTACTCAGTAGTGGACTTTTAGGGGCTAAAGATGAAGAAGAATATGTCCATCGACTTTGAGCAAGGAGACATATAGTTTATCGAATGAGATATCGCATCGGCACGGCATACTTAATAATATGATGGCCTCCAGACCAAAGACTCAACAGAGACTATCCATTTGCGCAGGAAAGGATTAAGCTAAACAAGTGTAAGTGTAAGTTCACCTTCTTTCAGTTTTGACTCCAGGCTACCACTGAAAAACTCATGGCAGATAATCTCAATAACTAATATTATTGCGCGATCCCGATATTTAAATCCGGTACCACATGATTTGATATTACGACCTCTTAGCTAGCTAGTAGTCACATTAATATAATAATATATCATAATCATTTGTGTGATATTTAAACAAAATATATGACAACTAAATTACGGATCCTGTATATTTGTGCAAAAGTACTCGTTGGTTTTCGAAACTGAAAACAAAGGTGGCGTTTCCTTAGGTTTTATCGTCATGTCAAACTGCGCTGCTGTACCGAATTATCACTAAATAAGTCAGCTCGACCACGCTCTTGCAATGCCAGCGCAAAATAGCAGCATATGCTACGTATGGCAAGTGTAGAGAACCGGAGATCTCATACACGAGACATTCCATCTCAGGGCTAAACATAGAAATTGCACATGGACGAACACCCTACTCGTGGGCCCACGAGCTAGATTTCCACATAGATCAAGTTTTTGTTCTGTATAAACTGTAAATTTCGGGGTTGGGCAATCAAGCAAAAAATCGAAATTACAAAAATTATTTGTCACATCACATCACCAGCGCTTAAAAGCAATAGGCCATCCCATCTTCCACTTACACTTCAGAATCTGTTATGTTGAAATATTTTATTCCTTTTAGTTATTTGAAATTAAAGAAATGGAAAAATATATCATTCATAGGGGAGATATTTGCCGTAGGTGACAAGCTGGGTTTTAATGATTCAGTAGTTATTCTGAAGATGCTGCTGCCCATCTCCGGGGTTGTTTCTCTTTTTCATGGAATGAGGATTTGGATTCATTCGATATGGGCACTGGTATGACACTACGGGGTCACGTGCCTTCCCTTCCTGCGTGCGCCATAAGTAATAGACTATTTTCAGTGTCCATATATCGAGAAGAAATGATAAAATCGTCTGCATATCAGCAAGAAACATGCCAACTTTCTTTTTTACATTATTATTAAAAGGCAAGGCTTATTAAAGTAGGTAGGTATTATTAAGAACCGTAGCGAAGCGTTTAACAGCCACGCTGCGAGTTCAAATAACGTATGGAATACGGTATCTATATGGCCTTTTTTCGTGAAGAAATCCTCATGAATACCTTCCGCTACGGTAGGTTTTTGCCGGACTCCTACCGACTAAAACCCCACGGTGGTCACCGTCATCGTTTATGAGGGGTCCTGGGATTTACGTTCGAAACTCAACAGCGGCCTTTCTCTCGTTTTGCTTTATTAATCCATATACTCCCAGCGCCCCATTTAAGTTGCACTTATTTATTTATTTAAACGTTATTAAACCTTACATTAAGTACAGGATCAAAAGGCGGACTTAATGCTAAAAACATTCTCTGCCAGTCAACTTTAGGGCAGTGATAGAACTACGAAGGCGGTTGCAAAGAAATTAAATAAAAATATACAAAATTATATATATATATATATATATATATATATTATATATATATATATATAATGTGTAAAGATACATAATATACTGATGAAACTAATATAGGAATATAGGTACACAGATTACAACTATAATGATGACGGAGCTTAGCAGTTATAAAGCAATTTTAGAAAATGAGCCGATACAGGTTTTCTAAATTTTTCAGGCAGGTCATTCCATAGGCACGCGTCTTGGACAGCAAACGATGAGAATATGAAACTCGAACGGTGAAGGGGTATATAAAGAGAGAGAGATTCTCCGATGAACGAAGCTGTCTGTCATGAGTGTCGCGCAGGAACTGAAACTTATGTTTCGGATAATTCGGATAATGGTTATCAAATAAAACAGAAAAAACTGTGTTAAGTATCCTAATGTGTCTTCGCTGACGAATCGGAAGCGGATATTCTTATTTATAAGTTTATCACGCAGAGAAACCTCGAGTATAGCCCACTCCATAGCTCGCTGAGCAACCTTGAGCATCATCGTCAAAAAATCGTGGTGCTGCTGCCGATCCCTTTGGCATGCCACCCGGGCCTATGCCCCGCCCCCTTCCCACGCGATGCCAAGGGATAGAGGTTTTGCTAGCTTACAAAAGCGCGCAACGTCAAGCGCGTACATTTTATACAATACTATGCAAGTAGTAAGAGTTTAATTCAAACTGCCACTATTGATCTTTTCTAATGATTTTAAGTGCTGATTTTCTATGTGTAGTTGTGAAGGAAAACATCATATTTCTCAGACATGCAGCGAAACTATATATCTGAGAAATATGATAAATAAAATACATCAAGAACATGAGACGAAAACCCAGTAATTTTAGGTTTTAACTTTGTTTTGAATTTTTAAGCCATGTCTACGTTAAGTTCTAAGTCTGCCAAGCAGTGTGACGTACTCGTAATTAGGTTGCAATAATCATTTTTACTGTAAGATAGTTACCTGTATAACATTAAATAAGCGGTTATTAGGCGGTGCTACAAGGTTGAAGCTACCAAGGCAGAAAGCACCACGTCCATTCGCAAGGCACTTCTCGTAGTCATCCAGCTGAAACAGCTGTGGCATCTGATGATATTGCTGATCTAAAAGATAAGAGCATTTAAAAATAATTATTATATAATTTGGCAGTGTAAGAAGCCTCCGAAAGATTTATTTATTTTGATACATAAAAAGGGCAAAACACGACATAAATAAAAATTGTATATTATGATCAAACTCATCGTTTAAAATATGAGCATACTAATATAAAGTTAAACATAACATGTTAGTTAAAGTTTAAGGTTACGGTCTATATACGCGTCCCATTGCTGGGCACAGCCCTCCTATAATTTTTCTGAGAGGATTTTAGGGCAAAGAAGTGTCCGCCGCGCTGCCCCAATGCGTGTTGGCGAACTTCACATATCTTCGAAATATTTTTTTTTTCTCAGACATGCACGTTTCCTCACGATGTTTTCTTTCGGCTGTGAAAGCACGTGGTAAATCAGTACTTGCAATTAACAATTTCGTTGGTACCAGAGCGGATCGAACCCGGGTTACTCGCGTAATGACTTTACAGCGAGCGCTAACCATCTGAGCCACCAAGGCAACAGAACATGTGCAATTAAATAATTATTTTTCTATGCTGTGTAGTTACGACGTAGGAGAATCCACTACCCATATTAATATTGTCCCCCAGACCGAATTATGGTCACGGTGGACAGTATCAACGCAGTCAGTCTGTCAGTATCAAAAAACCTTGGCGTGCTCAGCAGAGCGGGACAGTATTTCATGCCGGCACACCGCCTGCAACTTTACAAGGCGCAGGTTCGGCCGCACATGGAATTCTGTCCCCATCTCTGGTAAAGCGGAAATTTCATAAAAGAGTTTAAACATTGGGAACAGCTCAAAGATTCCTTAAGGACACATTTTAGTGAACATAAACACTATGTTCATATTCTAACCGAATTACAAGAGATCAAGCAAAGTCCACACGATAATGTCAACCAATTCGCATTCCATATAAAAACCTGTCTTTCACAATTATTAACAGAAATATCTTTATGTAATACTAAAGCAAAAGAATTACCAGGTCATACATACATTTAGCCATCTCGGAAGAACGTATTCCACAAAGCCTATAATAAACGACCACAGCCAGAAGCAAAATATGAAAACAAACCTGGGCAAAATTTCGTTAAACCATTTAATTCTAAACGAACAATTTATCAAAAATTCTCACAGTAACCTAATTTTAACCAAGAGAGCCCTCCTAACGCCTTCTGCCGATATTGTAAGACGGCGGAGCAATATATTATGGCCGGTAAAAACGAGAATATTCCATTAACCGATTCAAGAATCGAAATAATCTGTCAACCTCCCAATTCTATAGATTGTATTAAGTATCAACTTTATCGCGTGTCTCAAATCATACAGGCGTATATGCATTGAGATTTTTAATGCCACTGTTTTCTACTTTAAGCAATACGTAACCTCAATTTTTCTTGTATTAATTATATTAATTACTTTTTGAATAAATTACAAAATATTATTTGTCATAAGCTAGAGAGTCCGAAATAATCTATTTTTATTTTTATTTTTTTTTATTTTATTTATTAGGTTTACCAGTAGTTGTAACAATAATACATCAATGAGTATTTAACAATAACATGTACAGCCAAATGCACATTTAATTAAGGTAAACATCACATGCACAAAATATTAAGGGTACATCACAATAAATGAGAAAAAGAAGAGAAAAAAGGAAACAATAACAGCACAGTATATAAATGAACATAACAATTACTTAATTATAACTCGACTATGGTTTTTTGCAAGTGTTTGCGAAACGTATTCAGACTTGTAGCATGGATATCTATGTTTTTACCATAACAGTTTAGAAGTCTGCTTGCTCTAGGGACAAATGAACTTGAGCCCAAAACTGTTGTGCGCAATGGTGGAATTAATGGTAATATTTTAGTCCTAGGTAATTTCCGTGGTAGATTGAATCTAAATTTTTTCATTTGTACAATAAGACGAGATCAAGCATTATACGACGGTTTTCCAAGGTAGTGTACTTAAAGTGTTTCAATCTGTTTTTGTAGGAAAACCCTTTTTTACATTTATTGGCTGAGTAGGCTAGGTGCCAAAGATATCCCTTCTGAATCCGTTCCAACCTTAAAGAGGGACATGCATAGTGTGGTCGCCATACTACACTGCAGTATTCCAGAATACTCAGGACAAAAGAGTTGTACAGGAGCCTTTTTGTTTGCAACCTCCGAAACTGCTTGCCCATTCTAATAATAAATCCAAGCATGTTTGAAGCTCTTTTTATAATACTCTCTAAGTGGGCAGCAAAGTTTAACTTTCTGTCAACTATCACACCAAGATCTCTTATATGTTCAGCTTCCTGTAATTTTATACCATTAATAAAATAAGCAGAGTCTAAAGTTTTCTGTTTTCGGGCAAATTTGAAAACATTTGCACATTTAGCTGCATGCCATTCCGTTCACACCAACGACTTAGACTATTTATATCCTCTTGTAATAATATGGAATCCTGTGTTGTTTTTATTACTCGTAGTAACTTCAAGTCATCGGCGTACAAGTACGGGGCAGAATACAAGATGCAATCAACAACGTCATTAACCAAAATGTTAAACAAAATAGGACCCAGGTTTGAACCCTGTGGTACTTCCGAATCTATGTCATATTCCTTAGAATTAAAACCAATTACCACTACAAAGAATTTGCGCTTATTCAGATATGAATCAAACCAGTTTAACAAGGTTTCATTAATACTATAAATTGACAACTTCTTAATCAATATTTTGTGCGGCACCTTATCAAAGGCTTTGCTGAGATCTGTATAAATTACGTCTATTTCCTGGCTGGCGTCAATGGCTTCCGTTAGAGTCTCAACAAAGGAAACCAAATTTGTGGCAGTTGATCTAATTTCAAAAAAACATGTTGATGGACCGTGATAAATGGTTTCACGTAAGCGGAAATATATGGACAGATCAAAATTTCGAAGACCTTAGATATCGTGGAAAGGATTGAAATTGGTCTATAATTTATAATCAACTCACTATCACCAGACTTAAAAACTGGAACCACCTTTGCGATTTTCCACTCCCTGGGAAATATGCCCTTTGCTAAAAATGTATTGTATATAAAGCAGAGAGGTACAGCAATACTTAAGGCACAATTTCTCAGGAAACAGGGTGGAATACCGTCGGGTCCAGCGCCTTTATCTACGTCCAGGGACTTCAGAGCGCGAACCACTGCTTCTTGATGAAAATAGGGACCACCGAATGATGAACTACTACTAGCAGTACCTTCGAGAACTGATGAGTTATGAGTTGGTGATAATGTTGCTTTGGTATAAACTTCGGCAAAATGACTAGCAAAAAAGATTACAAATCCTTGGCCCATCATTTGCAATCATATCTCCATTCGTCGTACTGGTTGGGTATGAACTACAGCCACTACGTTTACTTTTGACAAAAGACCAGAATGCTTTTGTATTTCTAGATATTCTATCCTCAACGTTATAAGGGTATGCATTGTAACAGGTAGTACCAAGTTTTTGACACCGTTTAGACAAAATACTCAACACAATCTTATCTAAAGGATTTCTATACTTTTTGTGTCTTTTTAGAATCTTGTTCTTTTCGCTAAGTATGCGGATTAAACTGTTACTGAACCATGGCGGATACTTACCGTGGTTGAATATTCTTTTTTGAGGCACAAATTTCGATATAATATGTCTGATCAAGACATAAAAATGTTCAACTATATGATTTAAATTTTTGTACTGAGAAAATTTCGACCATATAGGCGTATAATAAATGTAACAGCAATATTATTTCATATTGGGGCAGATTTAACGTATAACAAAGACGTATGCACATACCACCGTCGATGTTCACATTTTCCTGAGGATATTTAGTCATCACAGCAGATATATGTACATACGTCTACATATTTTAGTATTACTGTGTCAAGATTTCGTCAAAACACCGACACATAGCCATGTCAACAACACCCAATATAAAAACTCAGAGTCAGTAATTAAAACAAGTCCCGGAAAATATACAAGGTCACTGTATAACCAAGTTTAAAAAATTTAACAAACAAAAAAATGGTTATTATAATATAAATGAAAACTTGTTTGATAATAACCCTGGTAAAGAGGCGATCGCTTCTAAGCTATTTCGTGAATAGGTTTTGTGCAGCATAAGCACAAACTATTGTATATTGTATATATATTGAAAAAAGTACCGCTGGGTATCGTGCTATTTCTACCTGGGTCAAGGGCCTTTTCCGAACTACTGGCAAAATTAAGAAATGAATTATTTACTTGTAATCAATATTGAATAAAATTATTCCATTCTAAAAGTTCCAATGATGTTTCATTAATCTCACATTTGACACCAATGTCAGTATAAAATAACCAATTAAATACCATTTTAAGAGTTTTTTAGTTCAAAGTAGAGAACTTACACCACTTTATACACTAATCCCCTATGTGCAGCCATTGTTAAGACCTAATATATAAGAAACACAAACTACTATATCCAATACAAATAATAAAACATTACAAGAAACAGTAAGAAACTCTGATAATGATGATTCTATGGCATATCCTAATTACTTTCCTTCAAATGTTGAAAGTCAGCCTTCCTCAATGTCTCCAACTATCTTATATTCAACCGTCTCCACCAAACACAATGGACAACACACATGTATTTAAAAAAAGTAACTGAATCAGTAGACTTCATTAGTGAAAGTCAACAAGAAGAGGCTGATTCTATAAGTTATGTTTACAACATTAGATAATAACAAGTATTCTATATGCAAGATTTCATACAAAGAATTGATACTGGCAAAAATATAGATATTCACAACCCGAGAGAAGGCTAATGCTGATATCATACATAAGTTTGAGTAGTTATCCGAAGAAGAACAGAAAGAGAATCAGGAAGAGTATGGAATAACATATGAAATTAAGGTTGATTATCATTTAGAATTGAAAAAATTTAAGGTAATGCAAGTTATCTCTATTGGTGACACGCTAAAACCCACAGATGGCACGCTTTTAAAAT